TTCCAGAAATATATCAAAGTTCCTTTTCTTAAAAACAGCAGGTGTATCGTAGTTTTTATTTCTATTTCATTAAAAGCTGAACTTGTAAAATAAAAATTTTCTATTAGTGTAAGGTAAACAAAAAGAAAATCAAGAGACAATCCGTATCATGAATGAAATTCAAGTCTTACATCGGATTAAAAAGAAATATTCTGAATCTAAATGTTTATGCCTATTTAGCACAAAATGCGTTTATTTGTGTTATAAATTTAACTAAAACCATTCTTATAACAGTATGTTGCCTTTAAACTGGGTAAAAGTGTTAAGTATATTTTCTGATGGTATTGATATACTTGTCAAAGAAGTTCTAGAAACCTCAAATGTCGAAAGAGCATATGATAAGAATCTCCTTTCCTATCGCTACGTCAGTTACAGGTTAAGGGGTGGCTTGAATGGATAAAGGTAATGTTTGTGCAAAAATATAGTAGTTCTATTTTGAAATGAGAAATAATTCGCTTTTTGTCAATTAAGGAAACTTGTGGTATTATTAAACAGAATGTCAGTGAAAGACATTGCGTTTGCATAGTGAATTATGAAGGTACTGAAAGGTAGTAAAGAAGGTGAATGAAAGAATTAATTTGAACAAATAAGGTAAGGCTATCATTAAAAGAAAAAACTGTTTAAAAGATGTATGTTAGAATTAAAAGTAAGATGTTAAAATTTAAAAAGATGTAACAGAGTAAAACCAAAGAATACTGGTAATTCCCATCTGGAAAACAGTAATTTGAGTACGATATTGAAAAAGTTGGTTTTAAGAATTTCTTTATGCATGTGATGCAAAACAATTGCTAGTTTATCATGAGTGCTGACATAGATGCAATTAGTGCAGGAAAAATAGTAAAATTAGTATAGTTAGTGTCTCTAAACATGAAAAAATAATAGTGTGAGCAGTTTAAATTCATTTGAAGTACTGAAATATGACATAGACTAAATATCAGAAAATGTAAGAAATATTTTGGTATGTGTGGATGAAACACTGAACGTGGTTGTAAAATTAGAAATGAAAATTATCAACACACTTAAAGGTAATCGGGATTTAAAACTAACATGATGTTAGAAACTTGAAGACCATAAAACTATATGAGAAAGAAATACATTTAGATATAAATGGTATTAAACTGTAAAGTTGTGAATGGAAATTTCTGAGTAAAACCTGTAGATGATCTATTATGATCGAGGAATAAACAAGTATTATAAAAATTGTAAGGAAATATTTGAATATGGAGTAAATGAAAACAATCCATATCGTTAAAATGAATAAAAAGGGATAAAATGTTGGAATTACGAGTGATGAGACAGAAATAAAAACATTATAATAAATAAGTTAAACTAGAATTAAGAAATATAAACACAGAAGGGAAATCATGAACGTAAGAAAAGCAATTAACAGTTATAGACTTAAGTTTTTTTAAAAAAATATTCGGTAATGTAAGGAAGATATATTGTTAAACATGTGAAAGAAATTAGAAATTCTGTAGAAAATTTAGTAAAAGGAACTAAGATCACGAAAAATAAACGTTTCTTTTTTAAATACAATTTCATACCACTAAGAAAATTAAAGTGTGTATAGAATACTAAAAAAATAGAAAAAAGAGATGTTAAATATTATGTTTAAAAAAACAATGTAAATGAAGTTAAAATTCAGAATATATTGAACATTATAACGTTAAAAAAAGTGTTAAATTGCATCTAAAATTAAGTAATGTAACAAATAAACAGCATGTGCGGGAACGTTTGTGAAATATAACATATAAGTTAAAAATCAGGGTATGCTGAAATTTATGAAAGGTATGAAAAAAAAAATAGTATGTGGAAGTTAAATAAAATATTACAAATTAGAAACGTGTTAAGTATTAAAAAAATATGACAGTAAATGAATATGTTATTATGAACAGAAAACCTAAGAAATAAGTTAAAGTTTCATTTAAAACTAGAAACGATAAAAGTATCAGAATAAATTGATGAGTCGATTCAAATTCCATTTTCTTATATAGGCTTTTTTACCTAAATCTGAATGTATCCCGTCAGCTTAGTGGTTAAAATCTTCAAACTACTCAGCTGGTGAGATATTTTGTTTCAGGGTTCAATTCTATATTTTGAATCATAGAACATTTAAAAAAAAAGAAACTTCTAAAATAAATTATTTTCTTTTTTCATCCCTAGAGGACGCCATGACTCCGTTGCCAAATTAAAAAAAACTAACTTTTAATGAAAAGCAGGAGGTCTACAACTCAATCAGCAATCTACCAACACCTCAACTCCACTCGTGACCACGCCTCCCAGTGTGATGACGTTGCCTTTGGCCCCGCCCTCTGTGTGACGTCATTGGCCACGCCCACACCGCGTGTCGCAGAACCCCCATTTTCTATCTACTTCCGTCGCCAAGATGACTCGCTCTCGTGCGGAACGGTGCACCACTTCAAACCGGGCCTGGACATCTGAGATGAATTCCTCAGGCGATGAAGGCGCATCCGTAGGGCGACCAAACAGGCTCTCACAAGGCTGACGAAGATCTCGATCGAAAAGCATTTGAGATGAAGAATAGCTGGTAGTCTTGCGTTTCTTTTAGACCCTAGTATGATTTCGGCAGCTTCCTGAGCTGGGTCTTTCGGACAAGGCATCGGCATTTCCAGGTGAGGATCCCTTCTGAGGATGGATAGTCATGTCATCAGATGCTGAGAGTAGTTTGTTGTTTTTGAAGTCTAAGGAAAAATTGTATTTCCTTAAAAAGTCCAATTCAAGTTTGCATGGATCTGTAATATCCGCCACATAAGCCGTGTGATAGTAAGCGGCACTTCCAAACGTGATGCTCATGTTTAACCTTCCAGCTATGTCGATCTTTTCACCAGACGCAGACTGAAGGGTAACACAGGATGGCGTCCAAATGAGTTTATCTTTTAAACAGTTGAGCTAAATCTTTCCGAATGATGATAACATTAGCTCCTGTGTCAATGATCATATTACAAGGAACTCCATCAATATGCCCATTGATGAATAGTACGTTACTGTTGCCACTCACTGTAGAAATCTTGAGCGCTTTAAAACAGGGTTTCATTATCTGGCAACCTCCGTTCCTCGATATGGTCATTAATTTGTTCCCTGCGTCGTTGCTGAGAAATGGTCTCAATTTTCATACCCTGGGGTGTTCTGCAATTCCTTCGTACATGGCCTTCAGCTCCAGAGTTCCAGCACTTTGGTTTCTTGTCATTCCTTTTCCCTCTCATGGTATTTAATTGCCTGTTCAACTCGTCTGTTTTATTTTCCGTGCTCTGGGGTGTTCAGCAGTTTCTTTGTATGTGACCTTCAACACCACAGTTCCAGCACTTAGGATGTGGACTCGCACAGCTCTGACTGGGTAGCGATCTCTCCGAGTTGCTTGCGGGGCTGCTTGGAACTTCACGGCGTACAACAGAGCGCTTTTTATGTCCTTCACATCCGCCATTCGTAGAGCTTTCTGTATTTCGGGATCCGGGATGCCGTCGATGAAATATTGCAGGGACAGAATTTACCTTGTTTCTGCTGGACACTCCGAAAAGGCGAGATAGGAGAGCCTTTTAACGTCCGTGTCGAGCTCCTGAAGTGTTTCGGTGGGCTTCTGCTGACGGGATTTTAATTGAAGACTGCTGTAGTCTTTTAAACATTTCTCGCCGAAGTGCAGCTCCAAAGCGCCGGATAGAGCTTCGAAATCTAGCCTTTTGCTGTCGGGAAGAGTCTGAAGGACATCCGCCGCGTCTGCTCTGAAAGAAGCGGCAAGATGACAGACCTTAGCTTGGAAATCCCATCCATTGCTTCTGCCACTATAGAAAACTGTGTCTTATATACTTGCCAAGAGGTCTTCCCATCATATGTAGATAACTTCAGAGAGGGTCGAGCAGCCATAGATAGAAGTTTAAAACCTTCAGAATTGTTTCCTGCCGTCGCTATGCACTTCTTTAGGCTGTCAACTTCTTTGGCGACGGCAGTAGAAACCCTGTCATCAATTTGGGTTTGGACGGCAGATTTTTTTTTTTTTTTTTTTCAATTTCTCCAACTCTGTTTTCAACCGTGTGAATTCTGTCTTCTATAGCTTCAAATTTGTTTTCTATTATGCATGTGATTTCTCTCTTAATTTCCTTTCGGCCCACTTTCATTTCTGCTTTAACAGCTTCCTGCCCGGCTTAATCTCTCCTTTAATGGACGCCATCTCTGCTTTAACAGAATCTTGCATATCTTCTTTAAATGATGCTTGGCCAGCTTCCATCTTTTCCTGGCTAGATTTCATCTCTTCTTTCATTTTTTCTTGTCTCGCATTCATTTCTTTCAGTCCAGCTTTCATTTCTTCCTGTCCCGCTTCCATTTCTTCCTTAAAAAAGGCAAAGGCTGATATCAACTGCTTTAACTCTTCTTCCATCGACCAAAAATTTTTGCGTGCGTACGGGTTCGTTACGAAATGAATGCACAAGTCCGATAAAAAATGAACAAACATTTATTATTATCACAGCAAATATGCTTAAATTTCCTCAAATATTCGTGCAGTATTACAATATCTCAACAGTAGTTATCTTTTAACTACTCAAACGTTCAAGAGAACTTAATTCATAACAGCTAGAGAAAGCTAATCCGCGAATTCGCTACAGTCAACAAGAGCAGTATTCTTAGCAAACTCTTAAAACAACAACAAACTAAAAAAAATTAAAAAATTGAGAGGTTTTCCTCCTTTTTATAAGATTTTAAATCGCTCGCGAGAATTTTCTGGAACTTTCTCGAAATCAAAAAGAGATATTTATTTATTTATTACATGCACGTGTTCTTGTACTTTAAATTTTTCCGGCTTAGCTTTTTCATAATATTCGTCACGCGCTGCACTGCGCGGGGAATAAAGCAATTTAATTTATAATTCTACTAACATTAGCTATATAAATACCAAATCCGTAACAGTATTTCAACATTTAAATTTTTAATTTCATAGCTTTGGTTTTAATTTCTCCTTGTTTTAAATGTACATATTTTCAGAATAAAATTATGTAATGTGAATTTAGTTATATGTCAAGCGTGAATCAAAAAGAATACTAATATTGAAATAGATATTAGTTAAGATTTTTGTGTTCATTTTTATTACTTTTTCTTTTCTAGGTATTTTATTTTTCGTTGCCTGTAATGCTGAAGAAGAATGTTTAAGTAAGTAATGATATGCGCTTTAATATATGTTTTATTATTTCGATATAAAAAAATAACTACATGCTTTCTCAATTAATTTATATTCTTATTGTTTGGAATCTTTATATAAAACATACTCGCATGTTTTCCGAGTTTTGTATTATGAGTGATGTTAAAAAAAACAGAAGAGGAGTTAATTTTTCAAAACAGAAACCTGTTGTTAACACTTTATTTTCATGGTTTTCATTTACTTTTACGATTTTTTGCAAATAAAATAATTTCGTACTTTACTCATTAGATGGCAGCACCATTTATTGTAAGCCATTTTGAAGGGCTACATGATTTATAGCAGTGTTTCTTAAAATGCGATTGCGACTGCAAATGGGGTGGCATAGCTAATTCTGAGGTCCTGAAAATTAAATTGAATTTAAAGTAATTGCATTAATAAGCCTTTCAAAGAAAAAACATTAATTGATAACGATGAGATCAATCAACTGTCAGGCAAAGCGCAAAAGGAATTTCAAGCGCTATCTAGTTGCTCAAACTTAAAACTCACACACGTAAAACTTTAAAAACCCTTGACCAAATTCTTTATCGAAAATAAAAATGAATTTCCTGCTATTTCCGAAATTGCATTATATATATATATATATATATATATATATATGTACAAAACAAAATTTAATTTATTACGCAGCAAAAAAAAAAAAAAAAAAAAAAAAAAAAAAAAAAAAAACAGGATTGTCGCACTGAAATTTCCTTTCATAAATTTTTGTACAGGTAAAACAAATCATAAAACTACTATTTTTTATTTGCGTATTTACCATTTTATTTGTATATTGTTTACGAAAGAAATAACTTACTTTGAGCAACATATTTATTTTTATATCTTTATTCTATATTTAATATCTGGGGTCGTGAAAAAAATCTCAGTTTTAAAAAGAGACTGTGAATGAAACAAGTTTAAGAAGCAATGGTTTATTGCACCATCGCTTAACCCTTTTCAAGACGCTACCTTTGAAAGTTGGAGTTTTTATATATATATATATATAAAAAAAAAAGAGGTAGGCAGTCTAATTAGGCCTAGAGAAGTACACAAGTAAAATTTTGTGAACATAGCACTTATCTTTTAATTCTGTGGGTGCGCCCAAAGTGGCACACTGATTGAATAGAGCTTCGAAAAGAGTGCTGAAACGAGCATTGTTGTCAATGGACTGACCGATGAGATGCGGAGAAACAAAGAAAACAGACTCTCAGTTGTCCTAGATTATCGGTGAGAACGGTCTGGGCACATCTAAGGTTCGCCGTTTGATTTTAGGCAAGGTAAAAATTTAAAACTAATATAGAATAAGGAGATTAAAATACAACCAAAAAAGTAACATAGAAATTTCTTTTCAAACTATTCCTTTTATACCCTAAAAAAATGTGGATGATTCCTTTGAAAAATGAGGGTCTTAAAAAACTAAACATGGCTAAAATATATGGACTGGTTTGTGCTGAGCTGCCAACTACTATAAATAAAGAAGGTTCAGAGTAACCTATAAACCCTTTTTCATTCAATTTTTCTGTGCGTAAAGAAGGAAATTTTTAGATATGTCCAGATCGGACACACTGTGCCGGAAGGGATTAACCAAGTAAGCAATGACAACTGCTAGGAAACTGAATCATCTGTGCTATAGGACGGGCTCAGCGCAATTGCTCAAAGGAACTTGCTTGTTCAGCACGGAGTACAGTTTGAAGTTACAAATACCATCAAGATCAGAACTATTTTTACCATGCCGCCCAGATGGGAAAGTGGTTAATGAATCTGACTGCTGTACCGAATGCTCAGCATTCGAATCCTGGAGAAGGCATGGATGTAATTTGGCTGTCCCTTCATTGGAGGCAACGGTGGCCCACCTATTAGGGGCATCCATAATAAAGAGTCCACCGCTTTCCCCGGTCTTAGAAGCGGCCACGCCTACAAATGGCTAGATCCCGCCATTGAGGGGTAAGAATTATTGTTCGGCGCATTTATAGGCTACAGTCTAAAGGGCTTTTTTTTAACCAACTTTTCTATTTTTACAGTTCTAACAAGTTACTTACAACTGGTTACTTTTAATACTAAATCTCATTCCAACGTAATAAATATATATATGGATATTTAAATTTAATTTGCTGTAAATTTATAATAAGTAGCATGATGTAGGTACATGTTTCTCAGAAAAAATAAGTATTTTGTCCCGTATATAAAACAAAATATACCGATTACTTCCGTAATTTACCTTTTTTTAATGAGATTGAATTTTTTTCCTGTCTCCTAAAATAATTGACTAGAGTGTGGTATTTTTTCTAAAACCTTATTGAATCTATTCTTACCAGATTTGGGACAAATGCAGAAAGTAATTCATGAACAATAAAAAGCTTTTTGTTTACGCTTTTGGCAAAACAAAATAAAAATTTCGATTTTAAAAATCAGGAAACTTTAAACATTTGTTCTTTGTAAATTCTGACTAGAGAATTGTATTGAAGTTATTGAACTTTTTACTATACTTTATGTTATACTTACTGAAATCAATGCTTGTGATAAATTCTTTATACATGATGTATAAAGAAATCAATAGTTCTGTCCATCAGGCTTCTTAAAAGAGTGCAAACAATTTTTCAAACTCCTAGAAAGACTTTAGTATTGTGTTTTTGATAAAAAATAAATAAAATAAATAAATAAATAAAATAAAAATAAAATTAAATTAAAAAAACTATTTGCGACGTGCGAATTTCGGAAACTTATGTCTAGTTCATTTGCAGATGGAGATATCTGAATATAGAATAAGAGGTAGACAATAATACGAGCACTGCTGTAGATTTTTAACATTTTAATACGATAGTTTTCAGATAAAAAAATGAGAATGTTCTTATATTGACTATTGTCACATTTAATTTTAATATGTTACAACTTTTGTTAGATGAAAACGTTGGTCACGCTAGTATGTGTTCTAATAAAGATTTCATGATGCTATTCTACTGATCCATAAACGGCTGCAATTCGTTGGGCCCCAATATAATTGTTAGCCCAAAGGGGCGTTATCGAGAAAGGTTATTGGTCGGGAAAAGGTATTTTCCTTCGAATAAACGTCTGTATCACTTTTCAGATTGTTGCCTGCAAATATTATAGGTCTGTATTATATTTAAAGAAATTAAATAATGAAGAATATGCATGTTTCTCGCATTGTGAATTGAATAATGCAGTCCTCCACCCGAATATGGGCACTGGAATCCCGAATCTTGTCGGATTTGTTTTATTATCTATTTCATATATTTTTAACTTGAACGAATTTTTGATTAAAAACACCCACGATTTCAAAGCGAGTAGTGGCAATACGCTGCACGGAATAAAATATTTTTATCTCCAGCGCGCAAGACTGTCCGAAATTCTAAAAATATGCTGTTTTCAAATATTTTAGCTCGAAGGGGAGTTATCCCAAACGCTCTTGAAACGTGTATGTGTAAATGAAGAAACGCCCCTTTGGGAGTAATATAAAATCTTAAAACTTTCAGATATTTTTTATTCGTTTATTTAGATTTATTTTAACGAATCCCAGTTGTATAAACTTAGAATGTTTCTAATAAACACTAGTATTAATTATGGCTATATAAATCAACAACTACTCGATAAGCAGCAGATTTAAGAACGCATTAAAATAAGTTTCCCAGTACCATCAAAAGAAGCGTAAAAGGAAGAAATGGAGAAAGTTATAACAATAATGCAATAATGATGTATTTTAATAAACATGATTCCAAAGAAGGCATTGATGACTTTTTGACAATGTAAAAATAAAGTATGATATAAATGTTAAAAACGGTTAATGTACAGCAGCATCTTTTGTTTCGTCGGTTGAAGGTTCTCACCTAGCTACACTGCTGGCCAATAAAATCATAACTCCAGAAAGAATTCTTCCAATCGACCAGAAATTTGCGTGTACGTAAATGAAGGAGCATGGAACTGAATGTAAATGAACAGTCGCATAAATACAAATCACGTGCGTAAGCAAGGTGTTCTGTAGAAATAATATCACAGTATAAAAAGAGAGCCATTGCTGAGAGCCAATGACGTAATTATATCTGCCCGCCGTTTTTGTGTTCAAACAGCCTACATGTATATATGGTGGACCTTTATGGTGGACCAATTTGATTAACCCTTATGTGTGAGGCCCCTCGTGGGATCCTCTGATAAGAGCGGAATTAATTCCCGCTGTAAATTAGAATATGCAGCCATAGCATCAAAGCATCAAAGAATGTAACAGCTGCATTAACATGGTTTTGACTTTTAAGTGTGGTAGGACTGTTGCACACTGAGTCTCGGATTATCCTTCTAAGAAACTGGTGATTGTATTAATGATGCGACAACAATAGTGCGAATATGGAATCAATGGCTCCAGGAAAGATAGACTCGCCGACATAAACTTCCTTTCACGTCACAAACTTCGAGAACAAAAAATCTTGTTTGACTTTCTAGTACAAACTGTATAAACTTAACCACGCACTAAACTACTAGTTTTTGCACTACAAACATACATTTCGACTTAGTTTGCAGGCATAGTTAAATTTTCTACACGTCTAGTGCCTATAAAATATTTAGAATGGACAAAAATGGGCTGAAAAGTTATTGGCAAATGAATAGTTTGAATTAAAGATTATTTGGTTTATAATGAACTCTGTAACGTTTGACAAAGCACTTGGCATATTGTTTGATGTTATATAATACTTTTAGTGCCAGAAGCTTGTGTTGCATTTTCGTTACTAATAAGTATTAATTAGAATCAATTTACAAAAGCAGGCGTTCCTAGCATAAAGCAACTTATTGAAATTAATATTTTCTTCTTTATTTTAACCAAAAGGAGAAAATTAATCAAATAATCATCTGGTTTAAAAATCAGCTGGACAGTAAAATCACATGAAATTTAATTTTCAAGAAATAATACTACTGTCATATGAAAAGTTGAAAAAGAATGAAAATACTTGTTGATTCATAATGCATGTGA